TATTAAGCCTCTAAATATCAGCGTTACCAAGTATCCACCATGAATCAAAAGCATGATGGTCTGTTTCTGTATTACACTTTAAGGCCCATCTTCTTTAAGCCAAAGGTATGTATTTTAGTTCAATATTTCTTGAAGTGATAGACTTGCTCTCCAAACACAACCTGAATTGTATACTCTTGGCCTCTAAAGTTGAAACTATTTACCAGTTGCCAGGCTGATTTGCCTATTTATATTCACTGACAGATACCCCATGGTCTTCTCTGGCTATTTAACACTTCAGATTTGGCACAGTTTGTGAAAGCCAAACTAACTCAGTCATGCACAAAGCTACCAGAGGTATTTTTACACAGGTTTGTGCCACACTACTACCCATCTCCACGCTACCACTGATCTATTTTGGAATCCTTCCGTTTGGGAATGCTTTCTTGAAAGCCTGAAACCTTGATGGTTTAGTCTAATAGTTTACGTTGCTTAAACGGGCATCTGAACTGCGTCTCACCAAGTACCTTTTTTCCAGCCAGCACTGCACCCTGGATATCAGCAACAGGTGAGTGCGTAAGAATGAGATACATGAAATTTCTAGCTAAGGACGTCAGATGCAGTTATGGGGATTTTTACAAGCCATACACTGTGACCAGAATCTAACAAGTGGTATTCATTTTACTGAGGCTTGGAGCTGGCTATTATTCCCCTACTTCTAGGGTTTTTTTCAGATATTATATAGCACCACTCAAGAAAATCTCTTTCTAAGAGGGAGGAAAAAGTGGACAGAGAGAGGTTTTAAAATTCGGATGAGTATTATCCACGCTGCTGCTTACTCTAATCCTAACGTTCACCCAAATACTAGATTGGTGGGTCAGGGAAGATGAGGACAACACTGGAAAAAGAGGAGTCAAAGGAGTACAAACAGAACAGTCAGTCTGCAGCCCAGAAGTGCAGGAGCATTATTTCAAATCCTGAACTAAGCCAGTACATGCTAATAATTCTTACTTACGGGGTTACTGGAATCCTGATCCCCACTATCCATCTGGAAGATTAAATATCACAAGCATTGGCTGTGAAACAACGAAGACTTTCCTTTGGCGCTCCTGGCAGAGCTGCAGTCCAAGAACTGAGCCTCACTACACTTGATCCGTTAGACATAGCCAGGCTTCTTAAGAGTTTGACAAGCATATGATCTGTATAAAACAACTTCCCTCTAAAACGTCTCATGTTTGTCATCTAGGTGAGATTACAAGTATCTTTATATAATGTTTTAAGCATGTAACTAAGAATATATAGTACATAGTTAGCCCTTACTCAGCAAATGGTGATCATACCATTGAATCACATGAACAAGCACCTGAACAATTGGAATTCTGCATTTTCAAATTTCTCTATGATGGCTAGAGGCAGTAACTGATCTTATGATGACCTGAAATTGAATTAAAAGCATCATATACTATTCAGTTTAAAACTGTTCTGAAGCATTTTTAATGTATCAACATTAGCTTCCTCACCTCCCCAAGAGGAATATGTTGGTTAATTACCCTCGCAGATCAAAAGGTCATATGGGATGAAAATTCTTTTAGAAGAGGAATCTTTAATCTAACAGACAAAAAAAAAAAAAAAAATCAACATTTGGTTACCTGAAGTTGGAGAAAGAAGCAAAGTAAATATCAAGTATGTATTTAAATTGTAAGGATATGATATTTGGGGGAATCTGATTATGTAGAACAGATTTTTATAGTGGGGACTCTTTCTGTATCAGGACCTGAACACGGGACTAGTATTTTTGCTCTGCTACATTCTATGGTTCTTCATTAAGACTAAACCCAGAGGAAGTGGCATAAGTTCTTGCAACTCTGAAATAAAGTTAGTTATCAGCGTTTGATAGCTTGGCTGAGCACTCCATTAATTCAGACTGGTCATCTGTTAGCAAATCATACGGGAGAAAAACAAACTTTGAATTCACTTATCACTAGCATATGACTATAAAGAGAAGTCTTTGAGTATGCTGAACAGATGTTGAAACCGATGAGGGATGGAGGGGTAAGCTGGGCCAGAGGGCACTGGGTAGGAGACAGGAGCAGCACAGCATGTCATTATGGTGGTCCTTTAACTAGAGGACCAGCACAGGCTAGCAACAAGCAAAGCCATTTAGGGAGCCAGGTGCTGGGCCAGTGTCCGATCCCACTGTGATTTGTCCTAGAAGAGCTCAACTATAAATGCAGAGCACCCACAAAAGACTGCAGTTCTTGCAAATACACGGAAGTTGCCAGCAAGTCTAAGAGCTCTGCACTGACTATGGTCAGTTCACTTGGTGATGCCATTTTCAGGATCAATAATAATGTCAAGAATCAAAGGACTGTTAAAAGGCTACTGCTCCAGCCTACTCACCTAAAGGGACACTCTAGAGTGCATAGGGTCCCATCAAACTGGTCCTGACACTGTATATGTTCTGGTGAATATCCAGCACAGAAAGCTATGATAATGGTAAATTAATTAGTGGAGCCCATAAAAAAGATGCAGGAAACTATCTTACAGCTTTAAACCAAGACTCAAGACAATAATCTGTAGTTCAAAAGCATTTATGAATCTACTGGAAATTCCAAGGCATTATCTGTGTAAAGGAAGTGTGGTTAGATCATCACAATTGTGTAAGTTATGGCTAGAAACTTTAAAAGAAAAAAGAAAGCTTTGTTATTTTTTATGTTTTGAAGTTCATACCTGATTTAGAGACATTTACACTCAGATAATCCCTCTGATAAGGGTGAGAAAAACTCATCCAAAGTCCTATAGTATGGCAGGATTAGGTACAGCATTTGACACTGTCCTACACAACATCCTTGTCTCTGAATTGGAGAGACATGGATTTGATGGATGGACCACTGGGTGGATAAAGAATTGGCTAGATGGTCACACTCAGAGTTGTGGTCAATGGCTCGATGTCTGAGTGGAGACAACTGACGCTGGTGTTCCTCAGAGGTCAGTACTGGGACCAGAGCTGTTTAACATCTTTGTTGGTGACATGGACAGTGGGATTGAGTGCACCCTCAGCAAGTCTGCCAACGACACCAAGCTGTGAGCTGCGGTCAACACGCTGGAGGGAAGAGATGACATCCAGAGGGACCTTGACAGGCTTGAGAGGTGGGACTGTGCGAACCTCATGAAGTTCAATAAGGTCAAGTGCAAGGTCCTGAACATGGGTCGGGGCAATCCCAAGCACAAATACAGGCTGGGCGATGAATGGATTGAGAGCAGGTCTGCAGAGAAGGAGTTGGGATTGTTGATTGACAAGACGCTCAAAATGAGCCAGCAACGTGTGCTCACAATCCAGAAAGCCAACTGTACCCTGCGCTGCATCAAAAGAAGCGTGGCCAGCAGGTCAAGGGAGGTGATTCTCCCCCTCTCCTCCGCTCTTGTGAGATCCCACCTGGAGTACTGTGTCCAGCTCTGGGGGCTCCAACATAAAGACACAGACCTGCTCAAGTGAGTCCAGAGGAGGGCCATGAAGATGATCAGAGGGCTAGAACACCTCTCCTACAAAGACAGGCTGAGACAGTTGGGATTGTTCAGTCTGGAGAAGAGAGATCTTATAGGGAGATCTTACAGCAGCTTTCCAGTACCTGAAGGGGGACTACAAGAAAGCCAGAGAGGGACTTTTTACACGAGCATGTGGTAACAGGACAAGGGGTAAGGTCTTTAGACTGAAAGAGGGTAGATTTAGATTAGATGTAAGGAAGAAGTTCTTTATTGTGACGGTGGTGAGGCACTGGCACAGGTTGCCCAGAGAGGCTGTGGATGCCCCATCCCTGGAAGTGTTCAAGGCCAGGTTGGATGGGGCTTTGAGCAACCTGGTCTGGTGGAAGGTGTCCCTGCCCATGGCAGGGGGCTTAGGACTAGATGGTCTTTAAGGTCCCTTCCAACCCAAACCATTCTGTGATTCGATAGCCCAGCCCTAAGTTAATGATCATCTACTTTGTGTACAAAAAGCTATTAAGAAGATTCCATTGCTTCAAGAGTAGGGCAGATCTTGTACTCTCAGCCTGCAGGAGCTTTAATCTGTGATGTTTCATCAATGTATTTAGTAGAACTGGATTCTTAATCTGCATAATCTTTAACTAGAGTAAGTATTCATTCAAAACTGAAGCTAAATACAGACAGTAAGTAATAATTTAACATCTAAGCTCAGATTTACATCTAAGAACAGATTGTAACTGAGCACCATATCAATTTGACAGCAAAAGCAAGGCAAGGAACATGAACAGCTTTATATATGCACACAAAGTATCACATAACTGGTTTGAAATAGGAACCAGTTTCCAGGGGCTATGAGCACCTTCAAATGTCCTTTCATTTCAACAGGAATTGTGCACACTGTTAACAAATTACTGATGCCATGCAAGCACTTATATCCAGAAGTTAGCTGGTTCTTCATCCTAAACTGTCCAACCCCCACCTCCCAAGTAACAGCAATCGGTAACAAGAGCTTCTGTTTCCCCAGATTTAGCCAAGCTTCCTTTTACACAAAAAACATGAAGAACCACCAAATGAATACAGAATTTTAAGAGCTGAAAGAGTAATTATTTTCTTAAGAAACTCAGAGATGTGATACAAAAGAAACAAGACTGAGTCCACATATAAAATTACAGGTTGATGTTATGTTTAACTATTTCTGTTAAAGCCACAGATGATGTCTAGTATGTAATCATGTTAAAAAGTAAGTTTCAAGAAAGCTTTACTATGAAAATGAAATGAAATTTGGTGAAGTTTAACAAATTTCATAACCTTAGCTACTGTGAAAATATTACTTTACTTGAAATGCATTCAGAATTTCAAATTCCTGAAATGCAAAATGTTCAAACCATAAGTAGTCTGCTATAGTTATATAGCTATTCTCTGAAATGAAGTATTAGCCCTCATGACAAAGAAAAAAAAAATCTCCACTTTTTTTTTTCTCTTCTTTTTTACATAAAGGAAGGCTAAGAAGTGCTCACAAAACAAGTCGATTTGCAATTTTAAAAGGTTACTACAGAAAAAAAGGTACATTCCTTTCTTTCCTTGTGACTATACTATATTGTAAGCAAGACTGTGCCTAAATTCAGAGAATGCTTGACGTTTTAACTGCACAAGCATTAAATGTTGTCATATTTATCACTGAAGAGTCCAATGGCATACTTCAATGGCATCAATCTTCACAGTATGAGATAAGAAAGCAGTCATTCAATTGTACTCAGATTGTTGCTTGCTTGCACCATGATGTAATTGTATTTAACCTGGAATCTAGTGAGAACTCACCCTGACCTTTCATGTTTCCCTGAAAAAGCTTTTCTACACTTTTATATAAACCAACAGACACAGAGGATGAACAGCTCTTCAGTTCTTTCATTGACTATAAAAAGCAGGTTTTCTTTAAATCAATAGCTTAATAGTTATGCTAAATATAGCTTTTGCCACATTTCTTGCTTGTAATTCAACGTAATTCTTCTTGGTACCTCAGTCATCATCTTGCTGATTTCTTTTCTGTCAACGGAACAGGAGAGTTCATAATGTTAGGACACAGTTATCTGAAGTAAGAGCACGAATAAATCATGACAAGCGTTTCCAGATACAATGGATGTTAGAAAATGACTGCATTTCTAAGCCATTTTTTGAATGGTAAGAGATAATGTTTCCAGCAAATGGAACAGAACAATATCAACCCTCTCCCCCATCCCAAACTACAGGATTTTATTTCCAGTAAAGAACAAGATTTGCCCCATACGTTAACCAAAGGAATATACAAGAACCAGAAAACATGATGGTGGTGGAAGAAGTCAGTGGTCAAGATGAAGACAACCTGTCCTCCCTTCCCTAGCTTACAAAGATGTCATGTTTTCATGTCACTGTCCATCAAAGGAACAGAGAAATTGTATTGAAAAAGGAACAAGTGTTTGTTTTTTCCTAATATACTTTTAACTTTTAAAGTTCTTAAAAGCATTAGCTTCAGCCATTCAAAAAAATACATTTCCATTTATACTACATTGGTATTTACATTTATGTTAATTATAAAAGCACAGTTCCAGGCACTTTGATGTTGCTGTGTCACAAAGATGGAAGGTCAGAAATTTTTTTCACTACTTCTTACCAGTTTAAGAAAGTCAATTAATTTGTGAACATCCTCTCCTGTAGAAAGGTCCACAAAATCTTTCGGCAGTCGGTAACTCAGGTATGGGCTAGGCTGGACAGTGACTTTACTGTTCGTACAACGGAAAACTGGATAGTCCTTTGGAAAAGATATTTGATAAGAAAAGAACAGTGTATGTGAATAAAGCTAGCAACATTTCTTGAACTCCTCCATGACATCATCTGAGTCACTTTGCCAATGAGTTTATTTGGCATTCATTCAAGTAAACCTGTGCTTTCTAAAAATTGTAGTTTTCTCATTAAAAACTCTGCCCACTTAAGCAAAAGTTAAAATGTTAATAAGAGTCAAATAAAGGCATTCATTCCCTCACTTTAAAATTTCTACACTGTATCAATTATTAATGCATTTAATACACATACACTTATAACAGTGCTGTAACAATGGAGCTGTAAGGAACTTTGTGCAATAGTATCTACATAAATATGTGGATAAAGAAAATATTTATGATAGAATCCCTAAACTTGTCTTCACAGGTTCCTTGTTTAAATGCATGTTTGCAGATATAACCTTACTGAAATTATGATCCAAGTTTTCCAACCAATCTACTTACTGAAGGGAAAAGTATCTCTATAAAATATCCAAAAATATCTCTAAATGCACAACTGTAGCAACAGCTTTTGGGTAACCTGATATAATTTTCAGTTGAACACATTGCCATACAACATAATTGCCCACGGTATGGCAATAAATAGCTTCATTTTAAAGACAGAAGTTCAGTAACTTCAGATCAGATTCTGTGATCAATGTATGCTGAAGCATGAAGATGAGTCATTCTACTTTTCATCCAGGCTTAAACCAGAGAAAACTTTGTAAAGCATCTGGCACTGAGAAAAAGAAATCCTCAAAACAAAATTCAGGTGTCCCATGGACAGCTCAAGAATTGGGAGTGTTTTAACAAAGGAGACAGCTTTCAGCAGGACGGTTCATTGAATGGGTTTTCATACAGCAATAGCCACACAGTGAGACTAAGAGAAAATGGCATGAATGATAGCCTGCAGAGTGGAGTATTTCCCTTTCAACATGTTATGAAAATGGCGACAGAACTAAAGCAAAGCTCAAATGTTAAAATCAGCTCAATAAAACATGTCATTTCAGTTAGCTCTAATGCAGTTTAACAGCTAGAAAATAAAGAAAAGCCCATGCTGTCCAAGGACTTGTTAAGATGTGCAAGTCTCAAGCATGCAGTGAGAAAAAAGGTGGAGTACAAATAAATTAAGATTATTCCTCCCTCTCTGTATTAACGGGAAGTGATTTGTTTTTACAGAGGCAATGCAGCTTGGAATAGGGATAGAAAAGCCCTGCTCTGCAAGTCTAGGGAGTTCAACCAGAGGACAAGGCTTCCCTGAGGGTATCCGATATGAGGGAGAGACAGAAGTTAAGCTTCTTTTTGCCTTCCCCCAAACATAAATCTAGAGCTCTGGGAAACTGTATGACAGATATCAGGAACAAAGCAGAACTAAGTGATTAAATAGAAAAGTAACAGAGTTTAAGAGAAACTGAGAAGAGCACATCAAAACTGCATAAAAGCAAGTTTCACGGCATTTTCTTTGCAACGTGGTCAAAGCTGCAATATGGGCTTATACTTACTGTTTGAACTAAAGACTCCCTTGCATTTAAAGCTAGCATGCAATAGGTGTTGGGATTAACTACTGTATAATATGGTAGATTCTACTTACAAAGAGTTTATGTTTCATGATGTAAGGAATCCATTCACTTCAATGGGATTTGCATCACAATTTGATTACAACAAAGAAAGAAAGAGAAGAAAAAAAAAAAAAAGGCCCTAATGCCTGTTGGATTTGTTAGTCAGCCTCCCTCACCGCAGGGCTGTACCTGTTCTGTTGCTTCCCCTTCACCCTGGTGTCCTTTCAAGTTTTTCCCAGAGGTCAGTTCTTCCCATGTAAATAGCAGGGAATCTGTTACTTCACCAAACGGGTTAAAATCTATTAACCAAATCTTACCCTACGATGGAACAATAGAAGAATTACAACAAGCCACAGAATTAAGACAAAAAAAAAAAAAAAAGAAGAAGGAAAAAATCAGAATACATCTGTATTACTGTAGTATGCTTGGTCTTTAGATAAAAAGATGTCAAAATTGAAATCACCTGGTTTTAAGCACTTAAAATATTCTAACATCCTTTACATTAGACAGTTTTAAAACACAGCAAGCTATGAATTACTTTTTTTGTTGTTGTTTGTTGTTAAACTGAAGATCAAATAGAGCTCAAATAAACTGAATTCAGTTCTATGCAAGGTGCTTTCAGATGAGTCCACAGAAGTTCTGTCTAATCCCCATGGTCCTCCAAGATCCCCAGACAGCATGAACAAGGCATATATATTAAAAAAAACCCCAAACCAAACCACCCAACACCACCCCCAAACAAACAAAAACCCCCACCCAAACAGGGATTTTGCTTTCCATCAAAAGCCACCTCAGCACTGCTGTACATTCAGCAGTCTACAAGAATTGCTGTTCTTGGTCTCAGAAGGAACTCTAAACATACAGAGCAGGGTCTGCAAAATGCTAGCAGAGATCATGAAAGCTGAAAGGTGCTGCACAGATACAGATAAAGAATAACTTAAAGGCATTTTTAATATAGCCATTACTAGTAGTCCAGACTAGTTTCTCCTGCCTCATCTTTAATACATTTGTGTTCCAAACAGTTCTGGTAGCATGCACAACAGCATGCCTGTTTTACAGCTGAAAAATGAAAGCAGAGAGACTAACAAGACACATTAAAGGTAACAGAGACGTCTGCGGGGGAGCAAGAAATAGTTTGTGTTCCTTGAGTCATCTCAAGATACAACCCCCAGCACAGGGCCATCTTTTCTTACCCAAGAAAGTGTCATCTATTCTCATAAAACAAAACATTATAATAAATTATAATGAAATATGACTACAACTGCTAGTAAGAATTTGCAAAACAAGTACTACATCTGGAATAAATCAGATCTATCAAATATGGAAAGAAAAAGGTTGCTGTAACATAAGCAGGACTGAAGGGTTTTATTGTGTTTATTAAAGATCAACTGGAATTTGAAAACAAACCTGAAGACTGTGTAGCTACTAAAATTTTATTTTCCTTTCTCTTTCTTTCCCTCATTCCTGAAGGATCTTCTTTCTTTAAAAGATCTTCCCTATCTTGATACAAACAGCAAACATCTTCAATGATTTACACTACAGCGATCTGGTTTCTAACTTACAAAGATGCTTTTGAAGCCTTCAGTCACGGAGTAACATGGAGACTTCCTCTCCCACCCACACTGCCTAAGCTACCCCCACAGGCACTAACGCACTATAGAATAGGAAACGCATGGAAACCCGTACAATAGAGAACAGAAATGCTCTGGCTGCTCTGTTATCATCCACAGCGAGTTACTCATGCAGGTGGGGGGAGTCCCAGCACAGATGAAACCAGTGATGCTACTTGTAAACTGGAACTGAGCCAGCACCGTGACCAGTGAGTGTGTGGTTGCACGCAGGCTTTCACAGGTCTCTCAGGGCAGATCCACCGGGTACAGCTCTCACAGAGAAAATTTTAAGAAGCCAATGCACTGCAACAGTAGTACTGAAACCAGACAAAAGAAACTGTGAATTGTGGGGACACAGACCCGTGCAGTTTCTTTCTTGTTTCACAAGGGTGAAGAGGCACTGATCTTCTAGTGCAACACCTCTGCACAAATAGACACCATCGGTGCAGAGGGCGAACAGGGGCAAGCTCTGCTATCATTTTCCATCTCTGTTCCTCTTCAAAAGGCAGTCGCAAATTCTTATTATAAGTGATGTTTTACTTTTGCTAATGGGGACATCTTATTAGCTCCAAGGCAGCAGGAGGAGGAATCTGTAATTTTAGATTCATTCTATCACACTAGAAAAACAAGCTAATGAACCAATTTAATCACAGACAGAAGCAACGGCTGGTAAAGTTCGTTAAGCAGTTCAGAGAATTTTTCCTTGCATCAGAAGTGTTTATACTTAACAAAGGACTTCCCTATGAAAGGCTTTCACAGAGACTCCTCCTCGCCCCAAGTACATGAAACTCAGCTTTTTCATAGGAACTCAAAATCGTTTCTCTAAAGAAGAAATGTACCCTGGAAAAAACTGAAAATTGGTTTTGAGACTACTGAAAGCGACACCTGTTTTTTGTGAGCACCCAGCAGTATTTCTCCCTCCCTGCAGACAGCAGTACACCATCTACAACACCAACTGTTTTCCTTGAGACGGCCTTAAATCTGCACTGAGCTTTGGTAGCTGCAAATTGATGAGATGTAGCAAAACAAACTAAATATCCCTTTTCAAAGCTCATTAACGGGAATGTATATAACTCTGGGTCAGTAACCAAAATCTCTTTTCTTAAGACTAAATGCTCTTTCAAGTCTTATATGCAATGTCATGATTTAAAGGTAGTTTCAGATTACTTGCACCGTGTAGTCCACTGCACTAAAGAGCAGTAGTAAAGCTATTTATCTGCCATCTGGTATTAGTAATCTTTGTCATATGAGAGCACAGAAATGCACAAGTCAGGAAAGCAAAGCTGTGCATATCTGGAGGGGAAAAAACCCAGCCTGTATTACGTAAGATTTTTTTTCTCATCCTAAACCAGGAACCAATAGATTTATCATATCATGTCAGCTTCACACTTTGTTTCACTAAAGCATTAAGCAACATGCTGCTGAAAGGAACTGCCTATGAAAAAGACTGTTCAAAGGAATTTAAAAGATAGATAAAACGCAAACTGAACTGTTACATCTCCCTAACTCCAGCTGCACCTTCCTGCAGAGTGACCATGCTCACAAGGCAGAGACATAAGCACTAGTTCGCACATTAACAACAGCAGCTGTGAGCTAGCAGTGGTCTGGAGGCACTCACTGCACTACTTTGTCTTACCACAGCGACTTGTCTTGAACGTAGTTACAAGTTGTTAACACCTGGGAGATAATACAAAGAGCAACAGTGGAGCTGATTCTCAGGCTTGTCAGCTGTTGCACAACGACTGTGAACCGCTAGCAGAAAAAAAAACCAAAACAGAAGTGGATCCAAATGAAAACAGGCTACCAGTCCTGCAACATAACCTCTTCAGGACTAGTTCTCCAGATCATCCAACTTGGAAGACTGTATGACAGTGTTTCTTCCTTAAAAGAGGACTTGTCTGAGAAGTCAGGCACTAACTCAGATGAGTTCGGTAAAGAGAGTGTAACAGGAAAGGCAGACACATAAAAGCTTATTCTCAACCAGGCCACCACTGCTTCTATGCCAACCTCCAACAAAACGAGCAGGACCTGTGGCAGCCTACCCCATACAGTCTCTCAAGTAACTAAAGCAAGCACAAGGAGGGGGTTGCTCTCTTTCACAACCATATCAAAGAACAAGCTTCTCCAAGACGCATATTTTGAGTTGAAAGAATTTAAAACAAGCAGACACTGGGCATTTCTCTCGTTCTGTAGGTGAGGTTGCTGTGCAACCAGCCTGATGAGGAGCATGGGCTCTGGAAATTAATCACACTCAGCAACACTCAATATTATTTTGCTGCCTATAACTCACGTACAACAGGAGCGATGAATAATACAGTTGCAAACCACAAAAGTATGTGTGAAAGGCGGAGGATCTGACACACAAAGGGCTATCTGGCAGTTTACAAGACCTGAGGGTAGAAGGCACTGAGAGATATCTACAAACATATACTTTATCTTGACAGATGAAGAAACAATGCTCATTTGAGATCACACAGGCTGAAACCTTTTACTTAAATAATCTGTCTTCATGCCTCAGCTGTGAGGCAGAGTACCCAACGGCAGAACGTGGTTCAATGCTGAAGAAGCGCTGCTCCTCATTTTGCCTGACAGCATCCTCAAGTCTGATTATCGGGGCCTGGGCAGGTAATTTTCATTACCGATCAGCATGGCTCTTTTTAGCCCATAGCCTGATTTTGGGTACCTACGTTAAAAGTTGTGCTGAGTAACAGTACAACAGTTGTTTTTCACATGACACACATTCCTGTTTAGTTTCTGTTTTGCAAACTATGGCACAATTTACTATTACACAACTACAAAATACTTTAGCAACATTCAAAGTCAGAATCAGGACTTACTGCAAATACTCCCAACCCAACTCAAATAAAGACCTTCTCCAATCCAATAACTGAACAACTCAAACAGTGAGACTCATAAATGTGTATAACAAAAGCATATAGCAATTTTTTTTTTTTTTTTGCATTTCTGGTTTAGGATTTGGAAAGGAATTTAAGCTAAAACAAAGACTTACTTCTCATGCACTAATGTGATTCCCAAAATAAGGTTTTGAGATTTAAGGCTAAACAATGCATTTTTGGTTGTGGTTGCTTTTAAAACAATAAATGTGTGCCTTTCAAGCGCAATTCATCTGACCTGTTTCTCTCCATTGACACTGGGAGATGTCAGGATGACTAACTTTGATATTGGCAGCTGAAGTTCAGATGGGATATTTCTCCCCACTCTGTTGCTATCTGGATGTTCAGGGTTCTGATCTGCTGAGCACTCAGAACCACAGCTGGAGCAGTTTTAAAGAAAAAAAATTAGCCTCCATCTGTCTCAAACTGGGCACACCACATTCATATACTCTTTTGACAGTTATCCCTTCATACCCTAGACTTCCATATATAAAGTACAAGTTATCATTTTCCAACCTCACAAGGATAATCTGAAGAAATGATTAGTTTTGATAAGTTCAGATGCTATAGGGAAAAACATAACGGGGGGGGGGGGGGGGGGGGAGCCCCAGGAAGGTTTTTTTGGGGAAAACATAGTAAGAATCCCCCAAGCTTTTTTTAGTGAGCAAAATATCACCCCTGCCTTATTTTTTTAAATATCCCAGCCATTCTGGCTGAATGTTCAGATACATTTCAGTCAAAAGCACCCAGACTAAGCACTATGCAGAGGGGAACCTTAGTAACAGGTAGTGCTTTGCTAAAACAATTCAGTAATGTTGCGTGACATTGATTAAGTACCCATCTTTCTTAAAAGAAAACTAAATTGCCTTCAGTAGACACACAGAACTGGCAAAATTGCAGCTGAAGCCAAAGTTATGTGCTTTAAGACAGACTACTTCTCTGGAAGGTACTTACTAAATAATTACATCACTGGCATAGACATATTTACACACCTAATCCTATTATTCTCCTACTGTGGACAGTGTCTAAAATAGAAAAAGACCTGGCAAACAGAATGATAACATCAAGTAGTTTTGGGGGTTTGGGAGTTTTTGTTTGTTTGTTTGTTTGGTTTTTTTTTGCCACTTCTAGGACCACTTCTAGGAAGATGAAGCTATTATTTGCTTCATCACTGTAGCATTTCAGTTTCCACAGAATAAACAATTACAACCTATTGTTCACTTACCCTGCTGTCTCTGTACACATCAAAAACAACTGAAAAGGAGGGAAAAAAAAACTATGTTAATCTTAAAAGATATACAATTTCACAGAAGATGTCTAAATCCAAATAGATACTTGTGTACACAGCACAATCTGCAAAGTCAATATGTCTAAAGAACTGCAAGCCAGAATTAGGTTCATTTCCACAAGGGAGCTGAAACATTTCAAGAACTATTGTTAATGCACAGAGAGATCGGCTGCCAGGTTTTTCCATTTAATATTGGTTTCTTCTGTTAATTTTTCCCCCCAGTGAAGAACATTTGATAAACTCTTAGCACAGGGAGAAGCTTATCTTCGACATTACTGCTGTTCGGTTTACAGCAGAACGGAGAAATTTCAAGGAAGGATCAAGACTCTGCTGTGCTAGACATTGCACAAACATTTAATAAGAGAAAATTCCTGCTTGAAGGAGATTAGGACTTCAGCAAATAACAAGACAAACAGGTTGTAGGAACAAAGGGGTTGGTGGGCGTGCTGAGAAGGAGGTGGCAGTGAAATGGCTATGTTTAATGTAACCCAGAGCAGATACAGCACACCTACTGATTATCAACAGCTCTTTCAAACAGACCCTTTGCTACTCAGTGACTGATGCAAAGCTGCCTTGTGTAGCTCCATTGTTGTCCCTCCCCTTGACTTAATTAAGTGTGAATCTTTGTACATGCATCTTTCTATTAGCTTCTGTTCTGTATGGTTAAACAAATCTTTGATTTGTCTTTCTATTCAGCTAGGGAAATCGACAGATAAGCATTCAGGCATGACTACATGCAGAAGTTGTACCAGTTTAGCAGAAAGAAAGAAAAAAAAAAAAAGCCAGATTTAGAAAAACCTCAGACAAATGCTGTATTGTCACTTCCTTCACTAATCAGGAAGGGAATATTTCAGCTAAGAAATTTCCCAATACAAGCAGGATAAACTAAACTTAGGATATGACTGAAGAACACTTGAGCCTCAGTGACTACTCAGGAAGCTGCCCGTCAGTAACAGGGATGTTGATTGATCACATCCATGCATGTAAAGCTACTCAGCAGCTTCATTAACATTTCATGCAAAGCTGGCTGGGCTAAGGGCAAACCACAACTCAAGAGCACCAAAGCCAGTCATGTAACTGTTTTTGACCATATAGCCTAAAAATCCACGCAGCTGTTTGCACAAGCTCAGTTACGTCAATTTAAAAATGTCACTGTGGAATTAAGTGCTATATTTTCTCAAGAAGACAAGCCCTTGGTGGCTAAGCAACTCATCAATGCAAAGAGGAGTATAGCAACCCTAGACTTCTTCTCCAGCTGTTCAACTGAACTTGTTGCCTGTACATGTACTCTCATTAGTCATATTCCATTAATGGAAAACTTGCGTCTGAGCTTTATTATAAAATTACGCCTCTCAGCTTAAAGCAAGCCTATGGCAATCATTGAGGCTAACGGCATTTAGTGGGATTTACATCCCCGTTAAGACTGATTGCGCATTGGTGACTAGTTCAGGACGCTCGCAAAACACTTAACAGAGAAGAAAATCTGAACTGCTCCCTCTTTTTAGGGACCACCTCAGAGCAGGAGTGTTGTGTGCCAGCGAGACTGTAGTAAAACTTTACCAGCAATTGCTCAAAATGGAGGGTAAGTATCAACACCTCCAGAACACCGTTCTTGCTGGGCTCTTATGAAAGGTATTTAGAAGGTTCTAACAGCATTTAGAAGTATTTATAAAGCATTCACCCATCTGTTATCCTACTGCTCTGACTCAACTCTTCCATCTGGAGACGCTACCAGACCAACTGGAAAAAGCAGAGCAAACAGCATCAAAATCCCCAACGAAACAAGAAGTCAGGAAAAAAGCTATAATACCTTCCCTTTTAAAAGCAAACAAAACAAGCAAACCCAGATTTTTATTGTTAACAACACATATGCTACCAGACAGCAGATCAAGGGATATGATTAGGGATTAATGAAAGGTGGTAAAAAAGACAAAAACCAGAAGACATTTTCTGTGTGGCACTTCTCTGCAGATAGACAAGCCACCAGCATTTAGTGCCTAAGAACAAAAGGTTAACAAACCTTCGTCCCAGAAGGTCACCCTGAAATGTCCGTTTCCCAGAAGGTAACTCGGATGGCATAGTTTTACATCCTTTACATAAGATGACACTTCAGATCTTTCAGTTCACCCAACAGCAGTTTCAGGGCCTAAATCTAGGCATCAATTTCCAAAAATAGTGCCCTGAATTCTTATCTATCAGTTGATTACATACCAGCTAAAATTACATCAGAACACAGAGGAAAATTAAAAGACAGTAATCAGAACATCAGATCTAGATGACTGATCTAACTTCAGAACTTTAGGGCTATAGACCTATTAAATTAGTATACTGATTTCCAGACTACCAGTCTTCTCCAAGCAGTGGTCCTTGAGAACTGCTCTGGGCTGAAATAAGGGGACCCTGCAGAGTCAAATTATTAAGAATTTTAATGTAACAGAGACTGGTATTAGAAAGTATCTTTTTCAGAAAGTCAGACAGGACAGATCTATTTGACTGCTCTGGTGGCTCAGCAAAATAATTAACCATGTTCAAAAGTTACCTAAAGGTTGAGTTTTCAAAGCTTCCTAAAAGACAATACAACTGCCAGACAATTCTTATGTTTAGGTACTTTACTAAACTGAGGTTTGGTCTACGCCAGACCCAATTTAAATTTCTTCATCATATTTTTCACCACTACTGATCACCCATCGCAATGGAACACTATTCAATTCTCACTAAACCATATCAGGAAACTATTTCCAATAAAATTTGCAAAGGACTCCACATTTAAAGAACAAGACAATTCACTTGTGCTGCTTAGGTGTATAAAATACTGTGGCCTTTATTCAAAAGTTTCAACAGCTAAACTCCTGTGCATCAATATTCTAGGAGAAATTATTATAAAACTTCTTGAAAAAAAAATGCTTTCTTCAAGGAATACCTCAATAATTTCACAGTAAACATCTGACAACATCTTTATAAACAAGACTTCTTCTTACTACTGAATGCTTTTTGTTAAGCATTTCCTACCCCACTTATCAGGTTTAGAATTTTTCTTAATTAAAAACAAGTATAAGGGGAAAAAAGCCTTAAAAAAAAAAAGTCATTATGTCTGCTGAAGGGACCTTTCACTCATTTGTTGTGTTTTCCTGAAAAGCTCCAGCCTATTTCTTCAGGGTTTTTTTTGTTGCCAATTTTATAGCCATTCAAAAACTACATTGCTTTGCACTCTCTAGCCACAAGAGCTATAAGACTCTCCCAAGTTAAAAAGAACCAAGCCCTGTGAAAGCAATACCTACGAAGAGAGAGCTGCATATCCGCAGACTTAAAATATCGGGGATGCCATTATTTATTGAGAAGTACCCATTTTAACATTGATCTCCAGCAGTAAATTGGAATTTAGCATATTGCAATGCAGTGCACTGTGGGGGAAACAAGCCTGGCTCAGCAACAGCAAGGGGACAGGAGGACAGGTCTCATTTCTATGGAGTTTGGCCTGCAAGCCCTTTCAATTTCAAACCTCCCAGTACCCTGCAAAAAAACTTCAGAGAGCTAGACCCTTCATTTCTGTTTTTAAGTCTTTGTAACTATGTGTGCAATAAGTATTTAAAAACCTTCATAAACATCCTTTTTCCCTCCCCCATGCTCCCCTCGCTAATTGAAGCCTTGAGATACTTACAGTCTTCATCCAAGAATTTATACTGTATGTGTTTCTCGAAAAACTCCTGTATTGATCTACAGATCTCCTCATGTTGCTTAGAGATATGATCATAGTATTGAGTGTAGTCCCTCTGTGATATACCTGTCAATAATTTTAGTTCATTATAAAGAGCTTTAGGCATGCAAAAAACCCAACCAGACAAAATGTAGTTATCACACACATGCACATTATAATTTATATTCCAGAAGATGGGGTTCTGCCAAGTTTCAACTATTACCAATGACTTCCTGTTTGGCTTTACTCTCCTGTACTTAACATTAGGAATCTTTTGCTTGAACAGTTCTGTCCTACATTTTGTGAACCTCACTTTATATGTACACGCTCTGACTATTTTTAAGTGAATTTCAGGAATAACCTTTGCCTATATTTAAGTTTCCAGTTCGTGTCTTTTGCTTTCCATTTTATTCCCTCTGGTTACTCTGGTCAAAAACCTTTTCTGTTCTGCACATCAGATGTAGGGATCAGAATTTGGAACCATGAAATGAAAAGGGTAGAGGCTAAGGTTGCACATTAGCAAAGATGATAGATCCTAGCATACCATAAAGATTCTCATTTAACCAATTTTTTAAGCGTGGAATAATGCGTACCTGTTTGATAAGGCACTACAGGTGAAACCTTAAATCCTAAAATCAATGAGATGGCATGCAGTCTAGTACCTTATTTCTCCCATTTGCCCCCTTGAGAGCTCTCTTGCATATCTGACATTAGATAAAATATCCCAGCTACATCACAAGCTCTTAATTTCACACATTTGTTTGTCCACAAGACAGTAGCTTAAGTTGAAATCAACAGGATTATACACTTGCATGCATCTTACATGACAGAAGTTCTCATACAGGATGTGTCAACATAAGCCACTGCAATACCCTGCTGGACAAATGTCAAATCAAGACCTGCCCCATCACTGCAGAATGAGTAACTCATGCTATTTAGGGAAAGAAAAAGCCAGAATCCCCCAAGAAAAATGTATCAATGATGGCAGTTTGCTGTTTTAACCATATACAAAACACAGAGATTAAGTTTTATTGTAAGACAATGCTGACTACCTCCAAAGATGTGCTCTTTAAAGAAGTCCATATAAAGTTTATGACGTCAGTGGAACTTTCAATTATTAATACCACTGCAAAGCTTAACTCAGGTTTAAAAACAAAAACCAAGAGATGGTGGTGTCTCAGGGGATGCAGATGCATAACTGCAAAATCATTCACTACACTGTGCAAGTATCACCCGTTAGTTTGACTGACAGGCTTATTAATTTTAAAAGCATGGGAACATGTGAAAAATCTTGGAACTGTCTTCAGAAATGCAGCTGGAGTGCTAAAAAAAACCCATACTAGTATATCTACAAGGTTTCAAAACCTAGTAATGACATGTACAGAGTGTTTAATTAGCCAGCGTACAAATGCTTTGAGGATTTGAAAGTAAGTATCACTATATATATTCTATAATAAATCTACATTCAGATGTTTTAGAGGTTATTAACAGTGATGCAGATCTCTGGCAGTTGTGGTGTTCCAGCAGCATGTAACAGGACAGGATTCAGCTCTTCCTCCTCCAAAAAGCTATGCGAGTAGCCATTAAGCAATACTGGCTTAATGGAGAATCTCTGCTATTAGCAAGATAAACTCTGTTACAGAGAACTGTAATAAACCCTGCAATTGGCATGAGTGGAGAGAGAATGGGAAGATGAGCGTAGAAGTACCAGAAGGAACAGCCAAATAAAAGGGCTGAGAACGGTATGTGTTGACAGCACCTAGATTAGCACATCCCGAAACATCTATGTGCAGCTCCATAGGACACCCAGATCAGGAAACAAAGAACAGGGAGTATGTTCCTAATGATTCACAGAGGTGGGACAGGATGGAGCAACAAATTGCTGACAGCTCCTAACAGGTACAAAAAGGCACATCCAAAACAAGCACAGTCACCATACTGAGAAGAAGACAGGAGAAACAATGACTAGATAGCTAATATCCCTTCCATATCATCACAAGGAACCCTGGGCAGACAACTTGTATGCACGCGTCTTAGTGCTTGTGAGTATGTAGGTATGAGACAGACAAAATGAGCAAACTTGGTTTTATTTTAAAGCAAAAAAATCACCTTCTGGGTTAGAGCTTTGCTACATCACTGCTGTAACATTTCCTTGTTAGAAGAGTTTAGGCAGAATGATTCAATCTTAAGGACAAATGTGCACCAGTCCTGTGCTACTTACATTTCTGTTCATCTTTAAAGATTCCATGGTAGACCACACCAAAACTGAATTCAAACTCCAGAATAGTATTTAGCCTGAAATTCAACCCCTCAATTCAAGCACCTGTATGTGCACTAGATGTCTAAGCTCCTGTAACAGTCAGCAGAGAATAGTCAATACATCCAGAGGGGTATAACTCAGCTAAATTTGCCCTAGAGCTGCCAAAATACATGCTCTAGCACAATCTGCCTGTCCTCCAGCTGTCACAGGTCTCCCGATACACCCACCAGCTCTTTGCACACTGTGCATACCCTAGCTTTTCAGTGCCACTTGAGACATTTTACATTTAGGATTTTGAACCAGAGTAACAGATTGACAGGTTTTCCGACTTGGCTACACTGAATATAATATGAACTCAGACACCTCATACACCTGTGGACATGTTCTGACCTCCCCAACTTTCTGCATGTAATATCCACATGTGGTCATGTTTTATCAGCATAATACCCAACTGCCTCTGTGTTCATTCTGCAAGCTGGCTACGATGCAATTTGCTCCTGAACGTAAGAGTCATTTACAAAACAGCGTTTGGGTGAAGTTTCTGAGTAAGCAGTCAGAATTAAGAATATTCCCACTGTAATATCGAGCATATGGTATCATCAGGCTTTCAAATACAGTGGAAAGAGAAATGTGGCACACCACATTTTAAATTACAGAAAGAAGAAGAAAACATTAATTCCAGAAATGAGGTGTGATAAGAAAGAACTGTCTTCAGATTTAGCTCTGATTCAAGGAATCAGAGAAACTCCTGAGAACTTCACCTAATAATTTTATCTTTAAGAAAATCCTTACCTATAAGTTTGTTTTCCTTGACAAAGCATCTGAATTCTGCACCAGGGATTAGTTCACACCATTTGCGAAGAACAAGCTATAGAGGAAAAACAAGTGACAAAGTATTGTTTCAGAAAGGTAAGAGGTAACTTTTTGTCAACAGGTATACCTTCTAGATCTACAGTTTTGCTGTAGTGATAAGATGACCTCTGAAATTATTCCTGATACAAGAAAATAAAAGAATCTTAACCTGCAGTTCACATAATCATCTTAGCAAATACTTCAAAGCAATTAGACTTAATATTAATTTCATAAAATCACAGAATGCTTTCAGTTGGAAGGCACCTTTAAAGACCATCTAGTCCAAACTAGTTTAGAGTAGAAAGGTTCAGACTGGACATAAGAAGAAACTTTTTCACCATGAGGACTGTCAAGTATTGGAACAGCTCCCTCATAGAGGCTGCGCAGCCTCCATCCACTGAGGCTTTCAGACCAGATTTGGTAAAATGCCAAGCGACCCGATTTGATCTCATCACTTACCCAGCTTTGACCATGAGAATGTACTAGAGACCTCCTGAGGCCCCTTCCCACCTTAATTACCTTATGCTCTTCCACTCTGTACGGCATTTGTAACTGTGAAATTATTTAGAAACAACTTCAAAGTTACATTAATTGATAAAGCATGGAAAACAAAAACCCTGCTGTACAACACAACAAATCCGCCAGGGAATTGGCAGAAAGTTGCTCCCTAGTCAAAAGAACTGATGAGCAGAATTAAATTTAACCAAATCAACCTCTATTCTGGTACATAACCAAGCAGAATTTTGTGACGCCTTTGAAGGCGCAAACCAGTTAAAATAAGGACGCAGGATAGAAATAGTAACCAAACTATTATAGTCAATAGGACAGACTGCCTGGTAATTAAAGCGTATCTCTGGCACTTTCTCAAGTTTCTGCATTTCCTAAGCTGAAGTATTCAGATGGATCCATTATTTTGAAGGCCTCAATTACTGCTACTGGATACTAGAAACTCCCAACACCTATCAACTGCAGTAGAAAAACCTCAGTAATCAAAGATGACATTCTTAACTACAGTGCAAACATGAAATTCTTTGTTCCAACTTTTAGACGTCCTGTATCTTTAAAGCGCATTAGATAGTGCTTTAAAAAAAAGTTAATTCACTTTTTTAAATCCCTTTAAGCCCACAGGATGACTAATGCTATATTTACATAAAAATTATTATTAGAGAAATGACTAGATACTATCATAAAAGCAATAGCACCACACAAACACTTTAAAGCATTGTTAACATCTACATCACTAGCTTGACATTTTAATCTGGTAGCAAGCATATGAAACAAGATACGATAGACCACTTCAGTTCAGAATGTCCCCAGCCACTACTTCTAGCTTTTCTCTTACTAATCTCAGTTGTGATATTCACAAGCAGCATACTATCAAGACTATACAACTTTCCGCTATTGAACTTGTCCTTCCTGGCAAAACCTGACAGACATGAGAGGAAATTGCAAGGAAGCTTCAAAAGTCTGAACTTTAGCTCATCTGATCTGTAATTCAACAAACTCCTTATGACCTCTATTGCTTAACCAGACCTCCCCACACTGTCCAAGCAACACAATTAAAACAAACAAAACAAATTTTATGGGCACATACCCAAACACAAATGGCACCCTGCCTGTGAGCGATTCATTTAAATTACCTAGAAATCACACAAAGAGTCCTACCTCATAGTCCAAGGAAGGATCAGGGGAATCATCAGTACAGTGAATAAATCTGGAAAAGTAAGGCACAGACATCAAAATCTGCTTTTACATATAAGATTTTAGCCATAGTGAGAAAAATAATCCCAAACTGTGAATCACAAAAACTACCGTTAAATTATCTCCAAGATGTACAAACCAAGTAAATTCAATACATCAATAACAAACCTCCTTTTGACAATTATCGGGGCAGGGGGAATCTGTTTTTATCTAGTTTAATTTGGAAGCACTTACATTTGGACAGGGACATGGCTAAAATACGAGTGTTTATTCATTGTTGAGTTTTTTCTGTTTGAATCAACAGTGCTGCTCCTTTCCTCTTTATTGTTATGTTGGCGTAACTGGATTCGCAAAGACCCAGATAAACTTGAGCAATCTAATCTAGCTTCAATGCATCATGTTCTCCCTAGTACTTTCAATGTTTAACTTCCTAAACCACACAACAGAGACACATCGTCATGCCTTACAGCAGTTCATTTCCATGAGCACGGGATGCAAACCAGCGCCACTCCTGACTCCACAGCATGGTATCTTTCTAAATTAAGAGCCTTAAGAAATACTCTTACAAATCTCTTGAGAGTAGGAATAAACAAAACTATTTCCATAACTGCAAGCAGATGTCAAGGTTTTTGTTCCTTGTGAGTAGCTGACTCTGTGTGTCACCTTTCAGGAACTATCAGGCATGGAGGCAGTTATACCCAAGCCAACTTCTATGCACCTTGTCATTTTACAGCAAACCTTACAATAAATCCTATAACTTTCAAAGGGAATTAGCAAAATAACATGCATTTTCCTTCCAAGTGTACTCCCTGACCTTACTGGCAACAAACTACACTGATGCACAGAGCTGTGTAAAGGGTCACTACTGAGCAATAGTCTTAAATGGCAACATTTATACTATCTCCCTTTGGCACTGAACTTAGTTAAGCAATCCAAAAGTCTAACATCTCTAATATAGGCATTGCATTTGTAATACATAGCTGTCCAGCCTTTGGTTTGAAGCAAAGAGCTATCATAAGAGTTCATTCAATATGCTGCCAGCAGAAATAAATTTCACTCATTTTAGTTTAGACTTTAATATGCACTACACACAGAAAAGAAGGGTGATAGCAGGCATGCATTCCAAAAGTACTGTAATCAAACAGATCATATATATCTGTAAACCTGTGCAAACAGATAACATCCTTCAACTACAGTTTATATTCACTGCAATTTAAGATCTGTCAAGGAAATAGAAACAAACTCATGAGAGCCTGCAGTTTTGCTAGGGTCAAGATTCCTCCCTTACTAGCATATATGCGTACCATGCTCAAGAAAATATCACACACACACAAAAGCAATCATAAATTATATATAAAAAGGCAGCTGAAGTCCAGCACATGGAGTTTTACAGTCACAGCACACTAGGACGTGTATTACCTCTCACAGACTTCCATATCTGAGATCACAGTACCTATAATCTGCTTCATTCCAGGAACAGGCAGCCTTTTCCAGCAGTCAAAAAACAGCCTTATGAACAATCAAAATTATCCCCTGCTCAACCATCAAATATTTTGGGTGAGAGCTATGTGCGGAAAGATACTTATTCTTTCCTTGTAAGTCAGAAAATTAAATCCTTGGGTGCAATCCCAAGGCACACAGACTGCTCAGGTATTGCTGCCAAATCAAGCAAACAGTCAAAATGATGAATATAGAAAAAAATACTGCAAGACACAGTAACGTTATTCTTCTTGAGTCTTAATGACACAGGACAGAGTACAAATGAGGAAAAAATGGGAGAACACAGCAAAAGACAAAATAAACTTGGTTTTTTTTGTCGTCTCATTTTCCTTCTGAATAGTATCCTGAATTTTTGTCAAGAAAAGGACGTTAGTATCATTCCTTTTTGGGGGGTAAATTTTGGGCAACCTGCAGTAGTTGCAATTTTGTATTTTTTACCAACTTATTGTAGCATTAATTGTTCAGACCCAGCTGAATTCATCCATCACATACGGCCTTTTGATTGTAAGAGGCAGGAAGCTAAGCGAGGTTTCTTTAACCCACATCCTATTCAGGTTTGGAGGTACTCGAAAGAAGAATCAGAAAGACTTCAGGAACCCAAAATTGAGAGATATCTGGGCTCTCTTTTCTGAAGCCTTCGAAAATTGTAATTTTGAATACTACTATGGGTGAAGGAATTAAACTGTACTGCTTACAGGCCTTGTGCTGTGGTCAACAGCTTGTTTACAGATTTATACTTAGACATCAAAAACAGAAGGATCAAGGTCTCTTGATATGTAGCAGCTGTATGTTAATCTCCAAATGCATATACTTTGCAACAGGACACACTACATGAAGCCATTATGGGGTTCAGTTTTCGACACTGAGAAAAGCAATTTAAGAGGGTTTGTAAGACCTCGAGTACCTATGCTGCTAAGAGAGCCATGAACTAATTTGCAAATCACCGAGATTATTCTATGGATAACAAACTATTATGAATATAACGAGAATTGTAAAAGTTATTCTGTATCTGACAGTTCCCCTGCTATCATCTCAGTTTATTTTAAAACCTTAATTAAAAAAAAAAAAATCAAGGAGGAACTTCTAACAGTCTTTGAACTGCATCTTTATTTCTTGAATATTGAACCTTGCTGGAAATTTAAGGACTAAAAGAAATAGGAAATTCATGCACCATTCACAAGAGGATCTTGTACTACACATTGTAAATTGCTAGGAAAAATGGGATGTGAGTAAACCCTCAAGAAAAAAAATCATCAAAGGCCTCATTTTCCACATACTCTCATGTGGAACTGTCTACCTCGAAATAGGTTATACTGATGTCTAAACCAACAGCTACCGTTCTTGAAAAAAGGTATCCTGAGTGCCAAGTCACATTTTTATGAGCCAACACTGCCTCCTATGTTCTGTTAGGAGAACACAGGCTGTGACTCCTCAACGTCTCAGAAAAACTTTGTAATTTCTTTACAGTTTGCAATTCGATATTTAGAAGCATTAAGTCTGGTATCAAAAACGTAGTCAGAATGCTAGCTTAAAAACAAAAAGGACTGAAACATCTGCAAGCTTTTAATGTTAAGCAATGTGCTTAGCAGCCTGATGGGCTAAACCTCACCCAAGAGCAGACTTTCTCACTTAATCTCAGAAACAGGCACTGACATTCTAACCAAGCCCTCTTAGAAACACCTAAATTAAAAAAAAATGCACCTCCCTTCATGTTCCTTTGTATCTTGCACATTAATACATTTGGAAACTTTTCCTTGGCCCAGTAGGAGTTGTTTCATTTGCTCTGCTAACCTAGTAGATGTTTCTTACCTACTAAATGTGGCATAGATGGTCCCTTCACTCTGTTTCCTGGGCTTAGGCAGGGTTGAGTAGCTACTTTTACACTCTTTACTTCACCTGCCTAACCAGCTTCTTGAAAAGTTTTCAGGAATGAACTTCTAGAAGTAATCAGTCCATAGCACCAGCTGGTCCAGTAAAATACTGAGAGTCAATTTACAACACTTAAGTGCACATCAGAAAACAGCCATTCTTGCATGTGACTCGTACTCCCCCTCTGTAAGTCGTCAAAGGGCAATCCTTGCAAACGATGTTCTCTGCATCAGGTTGCTTTTTCAACAAGGTTGAACTTACAGGACTTTTTATTTCACCTCTACAGTTGTGATTATTAAACAACTGGAAAAATAAGAACACTTTAGCATTCAAAATCTCAGTAGTAGTGCCTGCAGATCTAAAACATCCAGTATTGCCCTGTAGAACAGGAACAACCTCCGAAGTCTGACAAAATTTCCAAGGTTTAGTAACAAGCATGATATAACAAGCAGCTTATCTTATAATTGAAAAGGCATCAGCATATAATTAGAACTATTGCTAATATTTATACCAATCTCAAGGTGAGCAATCATGTCTTAACAAAATGTAGTCCTCACATTCTAACAATAAGGAAGAAAACTGTGTTCTAAACCAATACACTCAGCAGGGCTTTAAAAGGATTTTTGTTCAAAAGAGGAGTTTTAATTACTTAACAGAAATCCTAATTACAACCAGAATTTTTTTTTTTAATCACATATCCATTACACTAAGTTTTTGAAAGTCTACATTAAAACCTGAAAAGTTAAAGATCACACCACCCACAATTTTTTTGTGAACTCGGCTAAGAAAACGCAATGCTTGCTTTGAAGCAGAAACATCGACTACATTAATGAGTGAACTGCTGTGAAGTCTTTGTTAATTTATACAGAATTAACGAGGAGGAAAGTTAACTCATTATTCTGAACTTTTCAACCAAACAAAGTGTCAACATCATGAGAGAATCTAAACACTTAAAATATTCAAAAGGTTATCTAGTCACACTCAGTATATTTGCATTAAGGCTATATTTTTTAATGGTTTGTACTGAAGTATTGCATAGCTGAAGTCTTCTTGGAACTTGCAACGGTTTGAGAATTACAGCAAGGGCAGTTCCCTGACTTGAACAATGTATGGATTGATACCAGATAAGCAGACAGGAAATGGGAGAGGAAGGAAGAGGCAAAGAAAGTGGTTTGCCTTAAGTCTGACATCACTGGCAAACCTGGATTAAGAAACAGATCTTCAAATTGCCACTGCAAGGTCTCTTCCATATTATGACCCATGAAGTGGATTTTTAAATTCATACAGCTGAACAGAAAACAAAACAACAAATAAAAAAGGGTATACAACATTTCAGCTGTTACTTATGCCGGGCAAGAAACTTCTAGACCATACTGAGTATTAATGAAAGAAGTAGAAATACAGTGCATTTATCCCTTCTCCAACTAGCCCTTCCAAGGGATTTGGATGTATTATGTAACCAATTTTCATTTGTTCAGCACTTTGGGTTCTTATGCGAGCTACATTTTTAGTTTCTGCTTGCTAAGGACTAGGGAACTGGCAGCTAATCAATAGTATAATTAAGGAAGACCACCATTCTGATTCAGCAATAATCATTTCACTGTTTGGATGGGGACATTTTGTACAAATAACTTAGCAGTTCAGAAATACCATGCACAGACTGGACAATAATATGTGCTTTAATCAAGTACAACATATTCATAAAATATAAGATACATAGAGACAAAAGTGATTTTACACATTACACACGTTCCCCTAGTCGTAAGTACAACTTCCATGCAAATTCATGGAAATCGGAAGGCTGCACTGCCCATGTTAGCTCTACCTTACCAAAACAACAAAGCCTGTTCTGACAAAAAAATCCAACCCCATAACCCAAATTTATACCAACATTAGATTAGACTTTATAGGAAGGGAAATAAATACAACACTTCTCAAATCAAACTTAACCTTTAGATTAGCTGGTGATCCCACAATCAATTCATAAGGTTTGCTTATTTACCACCCACTAGCTGAACCGTGCTATCTGGCAGCACATTTGGTCTTATACACTGGAAAAGGAGTTTAAATAGATTGGGCTACTGCAATTTGAGGTGTTGTCTTTCAGCTAGAGATTATTCTCCCACAGCAGGGCCAGTAGAAGAGAACGTGCCTGCTACAGGCTGCTCAGCCACTACCATTCTTAGTCTGGTGTGAACTTAAGGTGAAATTATTGATGGTTCAAGTTGACACCCATGCTGTGAAATCTCACAACATAGGAGGTAGAATGCATTCATTACCTCTACAACTAAGTCAGCACTGCCTGGAGAAAGCAAGGTGAATAGCTGAGGCACTAACTTTACCTGATGCGAGATAAAACCTGACAGAAAATGCACTGATTTCAGTCTCAGTGAAGGTGGTCGAACCAACTCATTCTACCATACAAATGGTACAAACTAAGAGCGCAAACATACACATAGAGTTGCCACATCTTCTAAATCAAGTGGTGCTTGCTAAACACTTGATTGTGTCCCAAACGCATTAGAAAATGGTTAACCAACAGGAATTCTCCAAGGAGCTCAGGGTACTTTTTGCTGAACTCTTTATACATGGGGATAGTAGAATACAAAACCCATATTATTTAATATTCACAAAGGGGTGATACAAAGCGTACCATTCTTTTCAGACCCACAAGACTCAGTCCTGAAAGCAATTACAACAAAGGACACATTAAATTTTAGTGCTTAACCCTCTGAGCAAACCATCCTCAAGACACCTGGCCAAGTCACCTAGCCTCCCATTAGGGGGAACCATGAAAAAAAAGCTCCTTGGTAAGGCACCAAAGTCTTCTGAGAATCACTATTCATGCACCTCTGAAATGTAAAATACAGATTTCGCGTCTCCCCCATCCCTTTCATTCTCTATGATCCCAGAATCATGATTTCTCAATGCTCATAATTGTTTCCCTAGTCCAACATACTTTTCAAACTGCCTTCTCGCTCCAACAGCTTCTCCTCTCAGTCTCTTCCTCTGCACCTCATAATGTTGTAGGTTAGACATAATGTAAAACCTAGCATCAGAATTGGACTGACAGTGTTGCTAGCACTCCATAGATGCAGAGATAAGGGTGAGGATGTTGCTACCTATCATTTTTTTAATGTACCAACAAATTGGGAGAAAAGAGTGTTATTAGAGTTGCAGGAATAAAAAAAAGAAGGCAGTTGCACAGCATTACTGCAACTGACTTCACATTTTAGGCAAAACAATTCTTACCGGGTCATAAGCTACTTAACACAGGACTATTATGCTTGGTAACTCTCTATAAAGCACCTAGAACAAGGGCCCTGCATTTGGTTGAGTCTCCTAAGTATTGCAGTAAAATAAATAAGCATTGAATAACTACTGGAAAACAATCTCTTGGATACCAAGCCGTGGATTGCCCTTTTACTTTGAAATTCTGCTTTTCTGAAAAAAATACTAGTAATAGTAACAAGAACATTAAATTCCAGTAATTTTATTTTCTTTCACAAAAAGGCTGTATTTTAGATATGAGTGACATGACTCAGATGCAGGTACTACATGAGGAAACTGTTCCTATACAATTAAGTACTCGCTTCATATGAGCAGATAAAATAAACCCCAAGCACAGCATATTTGTAATTTTATCTGTAACTATTATCCCTAATCACAGTTCCTGGAGTGCATCTATTCCAGAGCTACAAGAACTTGGATTCAGAAGGAGCTCTAGGAAAATGTTAGCAGGAGTCTCAGGCATCTTCCAGGCAGCCACACAAACTTCAACAGCTTTAAAATTTGAAAGGGACATAAAGTCACGCTGTATTACCATTAGCAGTGCCAACAATAAGGTAAGTAGCAACAAGTAAATGCCAAGAGGGTTGGGAAGGCAAAAAACCCCAAGATTATAACAGTACTTGCTCTGGAAAGCAACTCAATAAAAATGGTCTTAGTCCACGGTGCCATTTTGCATGTTCTACTTTAATATGTCTTCCTGTTTTGCTTTTCACTTATTTGCATATTAAAATCAAGAGAATTAATATAAGAATAAAATGGAGGCTGCTCCTCTCTTGTTCACTGAAGCTAGGTAAACAATTCTGGTTTACTAGGAAAGACTCACAGTAAGTAACAATGAAGATAATTTGCCTCACAGTTCTCTGCACTAAATTGGACCTGGCTTTTATTTTGCACAGCGCAGGGAGACAAACAAGGAGGAGGGGAGGGATGAGGGGAGCTTCAAAAAACAACTAACTTATTACTGTACCTGAACAACTTTTAAACATGAATATGTATTTTTGTATCAGATATTTATCATTACTGTACTGTAAAGAGTAAGATTTTTCAAAAGAACTGAAAAGTCACCCTCAGAGGGTTGGGGGTTTTTTTGACTGGATAGAAATAAGATTATCTGCTAGAAATCTACTTACGGCTGAGTGAGGTCACGAGTAATGAAGTCTGAACTCTTAAAGAGGAGGAAGATGTCACTAAGAGCTTTACATTTCAGAGAGCTGTTCATTGCTATCCAGTAGGCATCCTAAACAAAAAAGATTATCATCCAAAAATGATGCACCTTTACCAGCAGGAAGGAATGCAAGCTGCAGATCTATCTAAATATTACACATAATTTGAAATACAGACAGAAAATTTTTTTTTTTTTTTGAGGAAAACCTCATGAGCTGTTACAAGAGACACGAGTTATTGCTTTTCTTATGAATACTCTGTTGAAAACAGAGCAAATCCATTTAAAAAATTAAGTTTTTGCCTTGCTGCTTCCAGGCACTTTTCTTGGAATGCTTGATTGAATACAAGTTTCCCTTGAGAATATGATACAAAAACATTTGGGTGTACCCATCCTTAAGGTATAGTTAGAGTGCCTAAAAATAACTAGAGGGAAGTTTATTGCTTTTTTAAAAAATGTGGGTTTTTTAATCTTTATCTCAGGCAAAGTTTTCAACTAGTATCCTAAATGAGAAGAGCCTGACCATCATACTGTTATCTGTGACAAGGATACAGGGTTTTATGTAAGAAAGACAGTGATGTCTTGCATCAGCCTCACCAAACAGTGCACCACCTAGCTTTAATCCACCAGAACAATTTGCTGTATCATACTTCACTGATATCTTGTCTATCACTTCTTCCTTCATCAGAACCACTAGTCTCTTCTACTTTCCAACACATCAAGATAAAACAAAACAAATAAAAAATTCCTGATTATAACATCTGTTACAAGTTTGGGAGTCAGCATTCTTACCCTTGGAGCACTCCAGTTAAGTTTAGGAAAAACACTACCACCCAAGGAAGTTATTGCTTCTTGAACTTTAGCTGTGAACTCAGGAAATTCTGGTGCCTGAACAAAGAACAACAACAACAAAAAATACCAGTTTCAATACATTTAATAGTGAACTGTTGCCATCTTCTAAATACCATCAGAAATACATATTGTAGAAGGAATAAACGTGTCCAAAATCGGGAACCAAGAACCCCACAAAAATAATGTATTTGTAGAAATAAATCACTTAAGAGTCAACTCTGACATTCTTTCAATCAGAGAAAATTGAAAATATGTCTCCAGTTCTCACTCTCATTGCTAGCAAGATTCCATGAACTTCAGGGAAAAACCCGAAACTTCATAACATTCACCATGAAAGCTGCAACAGCTGGCAAACATGGAAGTCAAATAAGCAGACCTTAAATACATACCTGTTGTTTTATACCTGATGGTAGATTATTGTATATAAATAAGATCCAAGAAGATTTAAAAACAAACAAACTTTCAAAACCAGTTTGTTTAGAATTAAGCATCTCTAAAAAAATCTAAAATACAAATGTTGGAGCATTCTGTCAAAATATTAAAAGGTAGAAAGAGATCGGTTCTGTTTTGTAATAGTTCTCCAGTTGCATTTAGGAGCACAGTAAGAGAGCAAAAGTAAATAAATCAATTCATAGCCAATTTGAGTGACAGCTCCTCATTTAAGCTTTAGTTTTACAAAATGTTGTAATAGCTCTTAAACTAGGTCTTAAAGTAGCTCCTTAACAATATATTGCATCAAAACAGAGGACACACTGCAAAGGTATGGGTTGGACTAGAAAAATTTGTCTGTAAAGAACATTGTCAATATTGTAAACATAAGACGGGGAAAAAGCCCAACTCCTCAGGATGCTATAAACTCCATTCTGAATGTGGTGTGATAGAGAAAACTAGATTGCTGACCTTTCAAATAACATGAAAGGATTTCAGGCATATGTCACAGATTTTTCATGTAGTAGGATTTATAGCAAAAAGTATATAAGAACACTACTTCTGCCTGAGTGTTTTTAAACTCAACTCAAAGATAACTTCTAGGATAAAGTTAATTGATGCCTCTAAAACAACAAAGCCCTCACAGCCACACAAGTGATCAAAAAAAGTTCACATATTTTGGCATCTGCCTTCTGAAGTCCCCCAAATGCAAACACTTTAAAAAAAAATCCTCTCACATTTTAGCACAGTGACCTAGACTGAACTTCAAACATTCTGAATCTTTCCTTAGTATGTTACCTAGTCTCCATGGGAAACTACACTTGAAAAACTGAAAAAGCACTTCTCTTACTTTATTTTTAGAGCTTCAGTCAATTCCAGAAATTGTTCCTGCAAGAGGTAAAACTCTTCATACACTGCATTCTGATCCAATCTCCTCTTGTTTTGACAGAAGTCAGGAGTCATACTATATATGTAATACCAGCACATACTAAGCCTCCCTGGGGAAACGTTACTACCATCATGTCATTTGATTAATATAAGCGAAGAAATATACACATGAGGATAGCTCTAAGGCTGCACAAACAAGCTAGATTCTAACATTTCCTAAAATTTGAATGCCTGACTTTACGACTATCAATATTAATGCACATTTTTTTAAACACAGAATTTTCTATAATCCTGTATTCTAATTCTTCTTCAGAATACAGAAGGGGCAAGGGGAAGCAAGTTCCACTTGATGACTCAGGTGGGTCATCATATCAGAATAGCCACAACCACAGCCCACCTTACTGCACCCTGAGCCAAGAAACCAACAGAGAATTATAACCTAGGATTTATCATTAGTAAGATATGAACGCCCTAGGCTGACAGCAAATGCAGAACAGCAGCGTCCAGCCTGTCCCACTATTCTTTACAGATTATGTTCCCTAGTGTCTCCCTGTTCAGCTTCCACATCGCTACTTGATCCATTCTCATCTCTTGCAGTTAACTTCAGATGCAGCTCCCCACCCTTCTGCATTCTACACAGGCTGTTTCTTCACTCTCTTCATCACTGTCAAACTGGTAACAGGCAACACTTAAAAACATAGGAGACTATTTCCATTCACTCACTGGCCTCAGAGCAGTCCCTAGTTTTCAGGTAGAGAAAGAGTATTTCCCATGGATGGAGTCTTTGGCCAAATTTAAGTGTATTTTTGTAGGAACTAGCCACTGGCACAAACCGTGTTCATTATTAACCATTTTCAAAGTTCCAGGTTTGGTGAAAGACAAAGCCCTGCCAGTCTCTGAACAAAAGCCACCTTGGAGGCCAAACCACCCCTCTTCTTCCTCTACCCCTGCTTTTATTGCTGAGCATGATGTGATATGGTAGAGTCTCTCTCACGACAATTTGGGTCAGCTGTCCTGGCTCTGTCCCCTCTCCTTCTCTTGCCTTCCCCTAGCCTAGTCACTGGGGAGGGGCATGGGGCAGACCCGGAAAAGAGAAAGCCTTGACAATATGCAAGCACTGTTCAGCAACAGCTGAAGGTTAACTCCATCCCACCCAGCCCCAGTAAAACATCAGCTGTAAAGCTGCAATCTGTACACAGTACACAATGCTTACCTAGCTAAACTGAAATCACTTGGCCTATACCCTTCTGATGGGTATCATACCTGTTGATTATATATTTCCTTATTGTGTTGTACACTATAACGAAACCTGATTCAAAAGTCTGGTATTATTTCTTTAGCAACATTAACATGAGCTTCGCAAAAGGCAAGATGGATACCCAAATGCTTCTTCTGAATAATTTGCAGGCTAAGGCATCTACTTTATCAAAGCTTAGATATTTGAACTGAAGCTACTAGTGTGTGCAGATCTGGCATGTATTAGTTTTAAAATCTAGACTATAAATACTGTGCAGGCATACACACAACTCAAAGCAGGGCTGTGTTTATATTGCACCTAATCCAATGTGAGTAATTCAACACTATGTTGAACATTAGGGAGCTAATAGGACTGAAGTAATAGTATCAATGGCAGACAAGTGACGCAAGTATATTAACTGTGACAATGATAGGGCAACGGCAAGTTTCAAAAAAGATGTAAAAGATCAAGGAAGCCTGGTTCATATCCATCACAATCCTGATTCTGAGCCAGGCACAATGCAAGGAGAGCATAAAGACAGGGGAAAAAAAAAAAAAGATGATAGAAATAAATGTACTTAGGAGGAAATAATGGCACAGGTTTAAGAGAAGAGCTGTGAAAATTGAGCTGCAGGGGCTTCGTTTCTTCTGCATCGAGTCTGATTAAGTAATTGGGAGACATTCAGAGTGGTGAAAATGAAAGACAGCTATATTTAGAGGCATACTTCAGTTCATTTCCTATAGTCTAACAAGTGTGTGATTGTTAGGGATGAAGAAAAACATTTTATTTTTAGTTAAATAAAATTAAGCCAGCAAAACTTTCTTAAAGTTACAGACATCTACACTGCTATTCATCTAGAATGGTCTGAAAAACATTAAATACAGCAACAGGTATCTCTAAGTGGCAACAAGTTTATATCACAAGGTTGCAGAAAGGATACTGCTGACAAACCCACACGTTAGGCTTTTACAGGACCTTACCTTAAGTGTTGTAGTATTCTCATCATCTGACCACTGTTAAAAATAAGAACAAATCAAAGGTCACTGGTTTCCTGAGACATCTTTATGAGAACACCAGAGTTCACATGGCTTCCTACAACATGTAGATCAAATCATTGCCCTGGAGCTCCTGTAGCATAACATCACCATCTTCCCAATTATTACGACTATAAATTAAGACAGGAAAAATACTGTATATTCAGCAGAAGTACTGTTCTAAAGTATGGATAAAAGATGATACCTATATTTTAATTGTGATTTATATTACAAACTTGAACATTTCAGAACTCATAGTCTTCCCTGTCCAAAGCTTGTCTCCAGCACTTCTGTCATTAGACCCATGATCCATTAGTTTCACTTATATTTCTTTTTCATCTCCTTTTTGTACCTTCTGTCACCTTGCACTTATAACATTTTTCAGCATTTTTCTTCTAGAATACCATTCTGAGCTATTATAGCCTCAGAAAGTTTCATTGTTTCTTGAAATAACTCCTCCAAATGCACTCCTCCTTCTAATTCTTCAGGGAATGAAACAGCATTAAGTTCAATTCCAACATCCTTCAACATTCCCTACTCATTATTACAAATGCAATTATCAATAAATAAAGAAATTAAAAAGTCTTCTGTGAAAGAGCATAGAAACATTTTAAACCTTCCCTGACATCACAGTATAAATAATGATGTTTTTAAGTTTTTCAAGGCAACTACCACATGATTATTATTTTTGTGAAGTACTCTCCTCACCTATAAATTATGCAGAAAAGGTTATACGTTCGTATTTTTCTCAGAGATTTGACATTAAGTTACATTTTATACTGACCTGTATTTCTTCTGCATCGTCACTCCCCTCCTGAGCATGACTTGGTGGATCTTCTCTAAAACAAAAAAATTAGCAGGAAAAAAAAAAAAAAAACCACTGGAGTTTGACTTGACCATATACATTACATTTCCATAGCATCTACCAGCTGTTGATCTCAAAATGTTTTTGTAAGATTAAGCCTCAAAACCCCTGGCAGAGTAAAATCAGAGCAAGCCAGTACAGAAAACTGAAGACCCTGGCATTAGACTTGGGCCCTACCCAAAACACTTAACTTCTTTCAAATCAGCATATCACTTTCTGCTCTGAAAACACCATAATCAAAGCTTTTCAATACCCTATTAATCATTCTTTTCCAACTTTACTGTACTCTGACAGAAGCACAAATTGAACAAACTTTTTTTTTTTTTTAAACACAAGTTCAATTTAAATTATGCTTTGCCTCCATACTCCTTTTCCAAATAAAAATGTATAAAACTTGAGTTTCAGATGTTGACCTGTGAATTGCTGGTTCTGAAAAGAGAGTGTCCTCACACTCCATACACAGAAAAGAAGATCCTGCAGAAAGTGGATACATAGTCATCAGCTTCTTCCCAAAAAGTTCCTTTTTCTACACAGGTGAGATCTGCAGTTGTAAACACTAGCATACCGAGGAGAAAGCACTTGACTGCAAATATTCCCTTTAAGTTTTAGGGGACTTTTGAAGTTTAGCCAATATAACTGAATGTGAAGACCTTAAAGGAAAAGACCAAGCTCTTGAAGAAGACTTGTTCACAGCAAGTCAGTGTAGCAAACAGTAAGTTCAAATGTACGGCCCTGCCAAAAGTCAACTCTTCAACAAGCTAAGTCGCTGCAGTCCCTTCCATAGAGATTAAACTATCAGTTTAGTTTTTGAGATCTAGAGGTCAAATACCAGTTTACTGAAGATTAAAAGGGATCTTGGCCTTGATGGCAAGAAGATCACATTCACTTCTAGCTAAGAAAGTTCAATTTAGTGAAAAACTCATTTCTAAAAGGAATTTTAAATTGGAAACATCTTAAAAATATAAGTAAATTATACAGTTGTCCATTATTCCATTGAAGACATGTCCTGGTTTCGGTTGGGATAGAATTAATCTTCTTTCTAGTAGCTGGTATAGTGCTTTGTCTTGGATTCAGTATGAGAAGAACATTGATAACACACTGATGTTTTTAGTTGTTGCTAAGTAGTGTTTAGACTAGGTCAAGGATTTTTCAGCTTTTCATACTGCCCTGCCAGCGAGAAGGCTGGAGGGGCACAGGAAGCTGGGAGGGGACACAGCCAGGACAGCTGACCCCAACTGGCCAAAGGGATATTCCATACCATGTGACATCATGCCCAGTACATAAACTGGGGCGAGTTGGCCAGGGAGGGCAAATTGCTGCTCAGGAGTTAAGTGGGCATCGGTTGGTAACTGGTGAGCAGTTGCACTGTGCATCACTTGTTTTGTATAGTCCAGTCTTTTTATTATTACTGTCATTTTATTATTATAATTATTCTTTTCTTCCTTTCTGTCCTATTAAACTGTTCTCATCTCAACCCACAAGGTTTACTTTTCTTTTTTTCTTTCCTGATTCTCTCCCCTATCCCACAGGGTAAGGAGGAAGTGAGTGAGTGGCTGCATCGTGCTTAGTTGCTGCTGGGGTTAAACCACAAGAAGACAGCAGAAGTTGTTTCTATAACATACCTGTAAAGTCACACCCTAAGTTTCAGTTCTTCTGAAGTCTTATTAAAAAATAAATGGCTGCTGCTAAATAAGCTGCACAATTCTGCAGAAGCAGGTGACAGTATTAATTCTTATCCAAAATGGTTTTAAAAACAATTCTAATTTTCTGGATACCTTTTATTAAAAAAAGGAATTTTAAAATTGAAAAAGACCTTTCATCTTTACAAGGTGTTTAAACAACAGCTTCAATTTTACATAAATTGGTTCCTGATAAATTAGACATAGCTCCCTTACACTCACAGCCTAATTGGTTGCTCTGTGAGAGGCAAACTACCAGTTAGGAAATGATGAAATGCGGACTGATTTCTGAGTCTGGCCATTAACAAGATGTATGCTTGCAATAATCATTTTACAAGGAAGCCATACAGTGAGATTCTAAGCAGAAAACAAAGAACAAGCCCTAGGTTCTTACCAACTGTTTCTCATATCTATCCACCTCATTCTTCTACATCCAAAATCCTGGCACAAGTATACATACAGGACATTCAGCCTCGTCATATGCATGGATTATATGTATGCAAAGGATTATACAAACTCAATAATTACCAAGATTTTCTATATTGCTTATCTTATTGAGAATTAAACTCAGGTAATGCCACTTCACCCCTGGATAAGGCAGCAGGCATGTTAATGGCACGGGACAGACCAAGCCTCTGAACCGGAGCTAACCATACCAAAGCAACCAAACACAAACCAGCAGGCTGTGCAACCAAGAGACTAGTAGACTCTGCAAGGAGAGGTGGGAAAAAAAAAAAAGAAGGAACTGCCCCTACTTGGCCTAGAAGTATTAAAGTGTATTAAATGGATTTTAGGATCTGCATCAGGCACCAGCAAGCCAAGTTTTACTAACAGCAACAGTCAGCCCACTCACATGCTCATACAGTATGAGGTTCACTGCAGCCAGATTAGTCAAATTTTAAAAACTCACTGCGCAAAATATAGTATGTGTATGCAAGATAGCACCGTGAACATAAAATAGTATTAATACTTGGAGGGTGGGGGGGGGAACACTCTTTACCTTCCAGAAACGACAAGTGTTCCATCATCCAACAAATATTCTTTCACATTTTCTGGCAGAGGAAGTATAACACTGGAAGAAACATGATAATTTCTTTTATTATTTATTGTTATATTACTTGTTAAAAAAAGTAACAAGAGTTGAATAAAAAGAATTTGTTTTTTTAATAGAACATAGCTCAATAACAGTATGTTTTATTCTCTAACACTATGAAAAAAACCATTTCTCTTTCTCCCATCTTGTCCCTTCCCAAAAAGCAGTACCCATTTTCCCTCCATAGAAGTAGAAGAGAAAGAGGCAAAAATTTTAGATGAAATGCACAACAATGCCCCACTCCTTCAAAGCTTTAAGAAATTCAAAGAAAGAGTGTGTGTGGCTAGTGAGGAGACAACGTGTTGTTCAAACTAAAGGTTCCCCTTCTGAGGTCTGAACCAAAATTGCCTATACTGCCTGAACGTTCCAAAAATGCAGGACTATCACTAAACTTGCCAAAAGTATGCATGTGCTAAACACTAAAAATTATAAAAGATTAAATGCTTTGATTACTAAAAGCCTGATGTCAGCGCTTTTTAATCCAACAGGTCACCTATCTTGAGCTTGACTTTCCTGAGTTACTGGTAGCTCTCGTAACCATCTCGTGACCTGCCACAGCACCTTAGAAACTGCAGAATTTGCTACAGCTTCCAGAAACACACAGAAACTCAGCCACTTGGTTTGGGCGCGTTCAGCCTCAGTTCCTTCGAGCAACCAAGCGGGAACAGCAGTGATGTGGCTATCAGCTGGCGCTCAGCGCAGAGTCCCACCGGGACAGCAGGGAGCACAGGGATGCCTGGCCTGGCCTGGCCCCAGGGCCGCCCCAAACACCCCCTCAGGGTGTAGGGATGAGGCCCCAGCTCGATCGAGCCTTCCCCACCTCCACCCCACGCCAGCTCCCCTGTATCTCACCCAACCCTGCCCCAACGCAAGCCCACTTCCAACCCAGCCCAGCCCCACACAGCTCCCCACCCTCGCCCCCACACAGCTCCCCTACTCCCCTCACACCCGCTTCTCCCGGCCCCTCGCCCGGCCTAGGCCGACACCCGGCCCGGCCCCACACCGCTCCCCTCACCTGCGGATGGTGACGGCCCGGAAGAGCGGGTACCACACAGAGAACTGACAGTGCACCACTTGCTCCTTCTTCATCCTCTCCCTCCAAACACAACCGGGCCCGGTCCGGTCCAGGCTCGGCCCGTTTCGCCCCGCTGTTCCCGGAAGCTCCCGCTCCTGCCGGAACCTCCCCCGCAGCTCTCGGCACCACCCGGCCGGCCATCGGCGGCGCACAACGGCGCGGAGACACGCGGCCCCGCCTCAGCGGCTGACAGGGCTGCTGCCTCACCTCACCTCGCCTCACCTCGCCTCACCTCAGCTTGGCCGCCGCCCTGCCCGGTCCCGGTCCCGGTCCCGGTCCGCGTCTCCCCTCAGCTGCCGGGCCGTTCTCCAGGCCTCCGTACGTGTGCGTGGCCCCAGCGCGGGGTTTCCAGGCGGTTACGTTGAAAACACGGGTGGCCTGAGGGAAGCGGCGGGTGTTTTTTATTCCCCCCCGCCCCGCCTAGCAGGCTTTGCTTTCTGGCTTTGCATGTGCTCCCGTAAGGTTTCGTCTCTCCAGCGTTATAGCGGAGCTCTGAGGCGACGGAGCCTCCTCGCCTCCAGCGGGGCTGCGTTTCGTTTTAATAACTTAATAATTCGCAAGTAATAACGTGTTCTTCTTCAGCCCCGTGGCTCTGCCGTCGTCTCCCCTGCGTGGAGGGCCGAGCGGTTTCCATCTGACGCTTTCCTCACAGGCTCTCGCTTCTGCCATTTGAGGCTGTCTGCCCAGGCCCCCTCACACGTCAGTTGTCTGGAAGGTCGATAACGATACGGAGATGCTGCTAAACCTCTTCTGCTTGTGCAAGTTTATTGTTGCTGTTGTTGTCTGTCCTGCAGGGCGAGAACCAGTTATTTTTCCGTGTTTCATCTGGTGCTGAGCGGGTCGTCCACGCTGCTAGATACCGTGACAAAAATGCAACTTTTTCCCTCTCTTCCATCAACTTCTGCTAATTAATTGATTTTGCTGCTAGAATCGTATTGCGGAAATGCAAGTGCACTGACTGATAGTAACAAGTTTGAAGTGACTTAGGAGCTTTTAGCGATATTTATCTTCAGCACACTTATCTCAGCGTGCTGTTGGTTAAATCGTGCGTAAAACACTGCCAGTGCCCCTTTTACGCATTCTTTATAAGAAACCCTGTATTTTGTTTTATCTTGAGCTTGCCTTAGGACACCATTGCTGAGCTTCCATTAAATCTGGTTGCTCTCAGCTGGGATGTGTAGTTTGGATTAGAGTATATCTTTTGAAAAGTGATTTAGAAATGCTAATCCATCTGTCGTGACTTGGGTAGGTTAATGTAAAGCCCTGATAGCCTGGCTACTCTCTGAGCTGATTCACAGGCCTCAGTTAGCTTAAGATTTTAATTACTGGGAAGGACAATTTGGAAACTGTGGAATGGTTGGGCGTTGCCTTGAAAGGAAGCTACTCAATAAGGGATTAGGCAGTGGGAATAAAGTTACATGTTTTATAAATGGTATGCCTTTTTCAGGGCTGAGTTTGACCCCCACATGAAATAAATGGAACAAGTAGCATAATTTGCCAGCAGTACCCTGTAATACTAGCCACAAAAATCATCAGAGAAGGTAGAAGTGGGCCAAACTTTTTTTTTTCCATAATTAGTAGTTCAAGTGCTGTTGATTTCTGCTAAGAAGGCTGATAAATGTGGACACATTGCCATATTCTTAAGATTGCACTGATAACTATTAAAAATTTATATTCATAGAGTTCATGTAATCCTAAATCAGGTAGTCAGGTTCCCAGGCTACTGTGCAAGCTGTGTTGCATTTTTAACTCAAATAATGCAGTGGTAATTTTATGAGATAGAAGAACCTTTCTGTCTGAGGGCTGCAAGATAAGGTCTATTCTGAAACCCAATATATGGCTTTAGAAACCTAACATTGTAGTGTTAAGTTTAACTTTCAGTTGCAGCTGATTTTGTTTATGAACAAAAGGTGTTGCCACCCTTGACAGTATGACTGATGTGAGATGGCAGAATTGCAGCCTATATTTAACCAAATGGTATTTCAGCTTTCTAATGCAGAAATTCTCACTTCTATACAGTCAGATGCATTAGATGAAAAAATTACTTTTTTTGGTGGAACTTTTTAAAATGTCACTCGTACATAGAGTTATTGCACCCACTTGTGGAGGAGATCAAAACTACAGAAGCTGAGATTGATGAGTCTTCCTCTCTCTTGTTTTCACCTATCTTAGATTTTAGTGATAATTCAAACCACTGAAGCTGTATATTTTTTTGTTATTTTAAGTTCCAAGCCACCCTTGAATCTGTCTGCTGCAGAAGAGGGCAAGCTGTGTTGAAAACAGCTTCTGCCATGAGAGGAGGTTCTCCTGTGTATTTGTAACTGATACAGGTAAGTATTAATACTGTTGTACAAACCATTACTATAGCTGCTTGTGGGATTTAGTGTACAAATGTGGTAATCCACATTTGAGAAAGATACACTGATGCTTGCAAACTTATGTAGAAGGATTAGTATGATCAATGGAACAGGATTTCCTGTGAGGGGAGACTAAAAGAGGAAGACTTATTCAGTCCTATCAAAGAAAAACTTTAACAAGGATATCACCTTGAGGGAGGTGATTCGCCCCCTCTACTCTGCTCTCGTGAGACCCCACCTGCAGTACTGCATTCAGCTCTGGGGCCACCAACATAAGAAGGACATAGACCTGTTGGAGTGAGTCCAGAGGAGGGACATGAAGATGATCAGAGGACTGGAGCACCTCTCCTATGAGGACAGGCTGAGAGCTGGGGTCGTCCAGTCTGGTCGTTCAGATTTTTCAGTCTGGAGAAGAGAAGGCTCCAGGGAGACCTTCTAGCAGCCTTCCAGTACTTAAAGGGGGGGGGCTACAAGAAAGCTGGAGAGGGACTTTTTACAAGGGCGTGTAGTGGTAGAGGGGCAATGGCTTTAAACTGAAAGAGGGGAGATTTAGATTAGATGTAAGGAAGAAGTTCTTTACTGTGAGGGTGGTGAGGCACTGGCACAGGTTGCCCAGAGAAGCTGTGGATGCCCCATCCCTGGAAGTGTTCAGGGCCAGGTTGGACGGGGCTTTGAGCAACCTGGTCTGGTGGAAGGTGTCCCTGCCCATGGCAGGGGGGGTGGGACTAGCTACTCTTTAAGGTCTCTTCCAACCCAAACCGTTCTGTGATTCTATGGTATGTTTCACTATATACTCTCTTGATATGTTTACATTGCCAACAAAAAGGCTATAATTCTTTCCAAACATAGGAGGTGAATTTGTTGTAGCTAGGTGTATGAGGTTTTTGTATTTTTATTCAGCTGGGATAGAGTTAATCTTCTTTCTAGTAGCTGGTATAGTGCTTTGTCTTGGATTCAGTGTGAGAAGAACATTGATAACACACTGATGTTTTTAGTTGTTGCTAAGTAGTGTTTAGACTAGGTCAAGGATTTTTCAGCTTTTCGTACTGCCCTGCCAGCAAGAAGGCTGGAGGGGTACAGGAAGCTAGGAGGGGACACAGCCAGGACAGCTGACCCCAACTGGCCAAAGGGATATTCCATACCATGTAACATCATGCCCAGTATATAAACTGGGGGGGGTTGGCCGGGGGTGATCACTGCTCGGGAACTGACTGGGCATCGGTCAGTGAGTGGTGAGCAGTTGCATTGTGCATCACTTGTTTTGTATATTCCAATCCTTCTATTATTATTATTGTAATTTTATTATTGTTATTATTATCATTACTAGTTTCTTCCTTTCTGTGCTATTAAACTGTTCTTATCTCAACCCGCGAGTTTTAACCTTTTTCCTTCCAATTCTCTCCCCTATCCCACTGGGTGGGGGGGGAGTGAGCGAGTGGCTGCGTGGTGCTTAGTTGCTGGCTGGGGTTAAACCACGACAGGGCATCACTCAGAGCCTCCTTTGATTGTTTCTTCTGGATGACCAGGAACCTCTTGGAACTGCTATGCTGAGCTGTGCTTCTTTTGCATAAGTTGGTGGAAAGCTTGATCTTGTATTTTGGAGTCACAGCAAGAGACGATGGCCATTATCCAGCTGCAGCTCTTAAATCCTAAGTGAAGAGAGTTTGAGACATTGCTGGCTCAAGAACAAATGGGTAACAGCTAACTGAACTAACGTGAGATAGAAGTTGGAAGATAAGCGAGTGAGGTTCTAGAACAGTTTTTCATGCAAATAGTAAGGCAGATAGTAAACCTACATAGTTTTAAGATGGAGCTTCATTGCTTTGAGAAAGGATTATAGAACGTATTTATGAAAGAACAGAATTGGGTTTAATAGGTCAGGTTTCCTTTTCAGGACTTAGGTTACTTAAAAACAATTTGAACGTTTGACTAGTATGACCTACTTCATGCAACATGACTGTCTTAAGACTTAAGGAGGAGCCTGCCCTGTGTACATACTGAGGAAATGGATTTATGTACGTTAGTTATAATCCTGCTGATAACCAGAAATATTTTGTACTACCTATTCCTTGTAACTTCTTTGTGGAACTAAATGCAAATCTAATATGCAAGAAAGCTGATTGTTGCTCCATGCTTTTAAATGTTTCAGAAATGTGCAGTAGATGTTATCATAAAAGGATAAAGTAAAAAATAAGAGTGCTAAAATTGGGTATGACAGAGATAGTGATCACTCCAGGTACTCTTCAATGCTAGAGACCCCACAGAGCCTTATTAAACCGTAGCTGAAGTCAACGGGAAGATTCCTGTTAACTTTATGGAAAGCTTATGACCATCAACGCTAAGAGTGATAGAGATCTTTATGATTATCTCATCTCTCCTGGTGTTTAAACTGGTTTGCTTCTTTGCACTGTCTTTTTGCTTATGATTCATGCTGATGCTCAGGACTTCAGTACTACAACTTAGTATCAGAGATGAGCTTCCTTGGAATAAGAGTTTCTGTGCTGAAAAGTGGCCCATAGCTCCACAGTGAGACAGGGGACTAATGGTGAATCTCTAATGCATCGTATTTTTCTGCTGCCTGGTGTACCTTTCATCTAGAACTGGATTGAGAGAGTGAGTGGACAGTCTTATCTTCCTACGGAGCGTTAGGATGCAGGCTGAGGCACTGAGCTGCAGGTGCAGAGTCTTGCTTTGGGCATGTATTCAACTGCCTTTGGCATTGTGTTAGCTACACCATTCCCAGTAAGACTGACGTGCTTT